TGCTGAGTAAACAATCTTCTCGTTGGGTTTAAAAGGCACAGAATGGTGCGTACAAAATGGCTGCCCTTGCATAAAAAGAAAAAGACATTTATCCTAGATATATATGCTTGCAAATGCATGGAAAGCATCAAAAGCGGACATTGAAGAACTTGTTAATCTTGGAGACTCCTGAAGAGAGAAAGATGAAGGAGCAGGAAGAGGAAAGAGGTGGCTTCCCCAGTGCAGGCCTCGGTAACTCCGGGCTCTGCCTGGGAGTGTGCATTGCTTTTATAACAAAAATCTAGTTTAGGAGAAGGTTACTTAACCTAGGACACGAGCCTGTTTCCTCATCTGTTAAATGAAGAATAGCGGTACGCACCTCGAGGGCTACTGTGACATTTGAGGCCCTGTGCACAGAACACTTCACATACAGCCCCTGGAGCCTGGTAAGTGCCAATGAATGTATGCTACTGCTGTTATTATTGAAAGAAATTCAGAAAAAACAAGGAATGTTCTTTAAAAGACTACAGGGACCTTGAACGGGCCCCACAGGGTCCTACCTCCGGGCTTCTGCACCTATTTCCTCGACTTGGAATGTTCCTTCCCGAAACAGCCACTTGCTCATTCTCTCACGTCACTCAGTGATCTGCTCAAAGAAAACCTACCTGACAGGTGGTCTCTGACCAGCCTTCCTAAACCTGCACCTGCTCCCACACCATCACTCCCTGGCCCTGTGGCCTGATTTTCTTCTCGGCACATAAACACCGCCTGTGATATCGTATGTTTATTGTTTCTTTCCCTCATGATAGTATAAGCTCAAGGGGGGAACTTTATCTCCAGCAACGAGAATGATGCCTGACAGAGTAGGCATCCCATAAATACTATGGAATGAATGAATAAACATTGTCTGAAATATACAATCCAGGGAACCAGAGGCACCTTGGAAACTGCATAAAAACCGGGGGTGACAGAAAAGGCTTCCCACAGAAGGTGACACCTGAGCTGACCTTGAAGGTAGACAGAGCAGAGCGGTGGGTTGGCAGCGCAGCCAGACCAACACCTGGCAAGGGGCTGGGACAGGAGAGGGGCTTAGAGGTGAAGCAATGAAGTTCGGAGCTGACCCATGGGAGTTGTGGGCCTGCTACACTTTGCACATCTGAAATGTTGGGCTTTTGAAGGGTTGAAATTCAGGAAGTGAGACTAGATGCCCTAGAAGACTTGAGTTTTCTTAATGACTACTGTCATTCTCCAGGTGAGAGAAGAACCTGAACTAAGAATGCACAGCAGGGACACAGCAGGGACAGAGGGAAAGGGACCTGGTATGAGGCACAATCTCATTCATTTAACCCAGGAAAGAAGTAGAGTGGCAGCTCCTGGCCGCTGCAGGCATGGTGGGGCTGAAGGAAGAAGTCTGTCCTTGCAGGTCAGGGGCCTGCCCTGGGTGCTTGAGGGTGGCCCTGGAGCTCTCAGGGAACCACAGCCTGAAAGCAGGTGCAGGCTTTGCATGAAAGCAGGTTTGAACTTGCTGAGTTTGAAGAACCTGTGGTCTATCCGAGAGGTGACCAGTAGGGGCAACTGGGGAAACTACAGCTTGAAAGGACTGGGCTGGAAGTCGTGTTTGGAGTCAGCGGTACAGCAGGAGAAGCTGTGGAGATCAGACTGTCGTCTAGAGATATGGGGGCCAAGCCGAGAAACGTGGGGCGCAGCAATATTTCAGGGGTGGGCTGAGAGGGGCCAGTCTAGAATCTGAGAAGGAATGGTTGAAGAGGAAGCAAGAACACAAGACAGAGAACAGTGTTCTCAGCAGCAGGAGGTAACTGCTGGTGTGCATGCGGCCACAATTAGGGAAGATGAAAACTGGGCCGTTAGGACTTCATTGGCGACGGCCAGAAGTTTTCCAGAATGATAGGGGACGTGGCCATACTGAAATTCTGGGATGAGCCAGCAGGTGAGGAAGTGAAAATGAGAATGAAGACTATTTTCAAGGAACTTGACTGTGTAGGAAACACTTGAACAGTAACTAGGAGAGCTCAGTGAGGTCTAAACAAGTTTCCTGGGACGGAGCAGACAAGACAGGGGTAGAGCTTAAAGTCTGGAGCTAGTTCAACGGTGAGGGGTGACAAGACGACGGTGTGGTTACTGACTTGAGTGTCTAGGGGCACATACGACATTTCCCCAGGTGGGGTAGGATCTTGAGGGGAAAGGAAGACAGTCCCCAAGCCCCATGCACTGACAATGGATGGACAGCACGGCGACAACTGGGGCAGGACAGGGATACCCAAGTGCCCCATCTTGAAGGGAGGTTATTATTATTATTTTTTTTACACAAGGCTGTAAAAGCCAAAAGCCTGGGCCTCCCCCCCTCCTTCCAGATCCATTTAAACCCAAAGACTGACGTGACTCTGATAGGCTCTGGTCTCCCCGGCTACAATCTACCCAGCAGTGCCTTTGTCTACCACGGGCAGTTTGCAGTGGCCTGGGGCTCTTTTGCTCATCTTTTATTGGGGAGTTGGGGGATGGGAACAGCGCTGGGGAATTGGGGGAAGGGGAACAGATAAGTTGCTGTCCTTTTGTTCTTCAGTCTAGTTGTGGAGGACGTTGCTTCACTGGCCCAAGTTGGCACCATCATTGCGCTCTTCCCGGGCGAGGCAGATCAGTCGCCGGCTTCTGGACGGCCGCTCACTGTGGCTGCTGGCCGCTCACGCTGGCTGCTGGCTACACACGGTAGCCCATGGCAACCCACTGCAACAGGGGCTGCAGCCTATGCCGTTGCCGGCGACTCATGGCAGCCCAGCTCCAGGTTGAGCTGTTGTTCAGCATCTTAGCTGCAGAGGGCAGTGTCACTGGCCCTCATATGTGGGATCCGAACCGGGGCCCTCTGGCGTCCCAAGCCAGCTCTTAACCACCGCGCCACTCGGCCGGCCCTCTTTTGCTCATCTTAAGAGAATGCAAGTCCACGACGGTAGGGGTCTGATCAGTCTGGTCTCTGCGTCCCCAGCACGTACCAGGTGCTCATCGCATCTGCAGAATAAATGCAGCGCAAAGCCTTGGCGTGGTCCCTGGCGTGGTCAAGAAGCTCGGCATGCCGGCGTGCGTTGGAGAAACCTGTTTCCATCCACAGCCTGAACCGGTCCCCTCCTTCCTCGACATCTTTAGCTTTGGATGCACTTTCGAACCGAACCGGCTGGGAGCTTTTAATACTCCCGACTTGCAGGCCGCCTGTGACCCGCGGTCGGTGGTACGGGTCTCCCGCCGTGGGCCAGTCCCAGCGGCCCTGGGCTGGAGCCAGCGCAGACGACTGCCCGGCCGGCCAGGAGCCCTCTAGCTTCTCCTCCCCTCGCGTAAAATGAGCGGCTCGAGCTATGGAGCGCCCGAGCTGCGGGGCGCCGACGCCTACATCGCTTCCTTTCCTGGTCCCGGGAACGCTGGAGAGACCGCAAGCCAGCCTCCGCGGGGCGCAGAGCCGCCCTCGAACTCCGCAGGCACAGTTGGGACCGAGGCTTGGAGCTCGCGGCTGCGGAGGGTGTGGCCTCCGGGCGGGGGAGGCCTCTGGGAATCGCAGTCCAATTTCTGCCTGCTGTGGCCTCGGGGAAAGGGAAGTCGAAGGGTGGGAACTCTATCTCCCAGGAAGCCCCTTGGCTCGCCTCGGGCGGGGTGGAGACGGAGCGGGGGGCGTGCCCAAGGTCTCCGTAACTCCCAGCGCTGGGCACGAATGCCTCCGAGCGTCTCCGAGCGTCTCCAGAGCCTCGGAGCCCAGGGTGCTGCCCTAACCCAGCCCGAGAGCGCCTGGAGCTCCGCACCCCCCCCCCCAATCCCTCCAATTCCCGCAATGCAGTCCTTGGGCGGTCCAGGAATGGCTCACCCGCCGGAGCGCGGAGCAGAGCGAGACTGGCTGGACACCCGCTGTCAGGTCGCTAGCAAAGGTCTGAGCCTAGCGCGGAGCTCCAGGAGAGAGGGGGCCCTGGAGGTGGCCGGGGGAGGTCAGGCGGAGCCTTGGAAGTGCGGAGACCAATTAGGTCTGCTGCCCAAGTCCAAGTAAACGATGAGATGAGGGTGCCTGGCCTCGCGTGGTGGGAAAGATGACACCGTGGAGATAGGATTTAGAAATTGAGTTTAATGGACTTGAGTAGAAGTGGGATGACAGAAAAACAAAGATATCGACGGTAACTTCTAGATTCTCCTAATTAATGGGGTGCTGTGAAGTGGCAACGACCAGGGCAGCGACAGTGCGTTTGGAGGCGCACAACCAGGTTTCAGTACTGAATTGTCACACCTAGCTCCAGGCCTGGGTACTGCCGGCCCAAAGTGAGAACAAGCTACTTTGGGGTCCTGGAGCAGGAGACGAGGAGTCTGAGCCACCCTGTGCCTGTGGCAGTCATTGCTGTCAGCGGCCATGTGCTAGCTGCAGGCCGTGACCCAGCTCAAGAGGGCAGTCTCCCAGCTACCTGTCCTGTCACCCTCCTTCCAAGGTTTCTGACCTCCTGGGCCCAGTTTGACCTCCAGGCCAAGCTGCCTGCAGCCATGCCGCCTTCACTTCACTCCGTGACCCTGAAGCTCTTTCAGTCAAGAAAAATGACAACCTAACACGAGTGGGCTGACATCATGCTTGTGGATCCAAACACAGATCTGTGAAAGAAGCTTCCAGGTGGCTAGCCACGCGGCATCAGCTTATTCCTGGGAGCTCATGAACCAGCGAGTGGTCCAGGCAGACTCTCTCCCTATTGCTCGGTTGCTCTGGGGACAAACCCTGTGCCGATGGTATCCAGCTCTAGTCTGCACACAATCCCAGGGCGAGCAGGCCAGGCCTGAGGACCTGCAGGGGAAACCCACGTGGAACTGCCTAGCACTGGGGAGCGGGGAGCACCGTCGACTGTGAGGCGTGTCCCATCGCCGCTGCCATCACTCTACTCATTTTGCTGACAAAGGGTAAAAGGTTTCAAAAACACCCCCCAGCTTTAGATACAGGAAGAACGTGCTTAGTTTAATATTTACACACTTGACACATTAATGACACCACACCATTCAGTAATACTTCAGAAGGGAAACTAACTCTCCCAAATCCTTTATTTAACAGAATTGGAACATTCGATGGCAACCTAAAACACAAACGTAAGTGTGCTAACTGCAAGACGTACTGAAAGCCTCACTGCTCTCCGGCAGTTATGGGCAATGCTGCACCTGCCTGCCCTGTCCTGGCTGAAGTGGCAGGTTCAAGCTTCTGCTCAGTTCAGGGTTGCCAGGGCCTGAGGGCTCCCTCTGCCCAGACACAAGTGCCTAGCATGGAGGAGAGGCTCAGCACCACTCCTGTCACCTCTGTCCCCTGACCCAGAGAGTGCCTGAGAAGGCCCGGACAGGAAAACCCAGGCGAGCCCTGATAGCTCTGCAGGATTCTTCCTACTGCCTGTAGCCCCCTCCCACCAACCCCTGGCGCTGCGGGGTCCATAAAAGTTACTCCCTTAAGACACAGGGCTAGGGGCCTGACTGGTTGGGTGATCCAGGACTGCCCCACAAGCCGTCCACTGGAACAGGAGGGCAGGCAGATCTGAGGGGCATCGAGGACCCTGTCCCACCACATCTGGACCCCAGGGAGGAGGGACTAGAGCGCGGGCTGGTGTGGGTCACCAAGGCCTCCAGACGCTCCGGGCTGTGCGGGCTGCGGTCAGGCTGTTCAGGGCCGCCGGCGCTAAGTCTGGCCCCTCCGCAGGTGCGCGGCTCAGTTCAGCCTCGGTAGCCTCCTCCAGGTCGGAGCACAGGTCGTCCCCGGGGCCTAGAGGGCTGGGCAACGGGGACCCTAGGGCCCCTCCTGTGAGCCAGCCGCTTCGACTCGGGGCCCCAGGGGGCCCGGCCAGGGTGTCCCCCAGCAGATCCCGGAAGCTGCTGCCCTCGCGCAGCGGCATGGACTCCAGCAAGTGATTCAGGAGCTCCGCGGCGACGGTGGCATCGATGGCCTGGCACGTGGACACGAACGTGTGCACCTCATGCATGCACTGGATGTAGCCGGCAGCGAAGCGCTCGCTCGCTTCCGCCTGCAGCTGCTCGCGTCCTGCGCCCAGGGATGGGAGGGAGAGAACCGCACCGGACCCTGTGAGCCGGGACTGCCGTGTCGCGGCCCGCGGGGACGGGGCTCACCCAGGAGAGGGGCACGCGCTACTCTGGGGAGAGCTCCGGTCGTGAACGGCACAGGGGTGCCGGGCGGGGACGTCTTCCCTCTCGCGCGGGGGCGGGGCGGGCCACTCACCGCGAGCTCGGCCCCGCAGCGCGCCCTGCACGCGGCGCACCGTCAGCTCCAGCACCTCGGCGTTCTCCAGCTTGGCCTGCACCTGCGCCGGCGGGGGCGCCGGGTGGGGACGGACGGGGAGGCGCGTTAGGGCCGCGCCCACCCGCACCCGCTCGGCAGCCCCGGGCAGCAGCCGCAGCTCCTGCAGGCTCTCGTTGATCCGCGCGCGCCTCTTCTTCTCCACTAGGGGCTTCCGGGCCTGCGGGAAACGGGCGGCTGAG